ATGATAATGATGATAATGATGATAATGATAATGATAATGATAATGATGATAATGATGATGATAATGATGATAATGATGATAATGATGATAATGATGATAATGATAATAAATAAAAATAAAAAGAACTTTGTACTACATTCAAGATAAACAAGTTTTATCTTAGATATGTTTTAGTAGATTGAAGCCCACTTCATCACATCCTGCTGATTAAATGGACTACAAACTGTAAAGTAAGGTACTTCACACAGTTTTCTCTAAATTGACACTGTCCAGAATCCAATAGACTGTGATTTAATGGCCTTCACTATGGCGGCCAATTGTCACTAATTAACAAGGTGCAGGTTGCATTCCTGGGCACACATTCAAGCACGTTGACAGATGTATAGTCAGAATGCAGCCATCATCTTCTTAAGTACAGTATTAGCAAATTTCAACCACAATTTACACCCTATAACTTAAGCAGGAGTCAACTGGCAATAGTAAAATTTACACAGATCATAGTTTCTGCACCGAGAGTTAGCACAGAGCACACATAATCCCACAGCCTCCTAGACTACTAAATTATGAAACACAGTCATTGAGGAACTGCTTTTAACATCCAGAATAGACTCTGAAAACAAAGGAAGTGACCACCCTTACTGTCTTGTGACAGACTACATCCTTCTCTGGTTCTGAGTAAAACACCTGCTCTCTGATATATAGATAATTCCCAACAATGCACTTGGTCCCCTTCCCTACCCCCTCTTACCTAAGATTTTCCTCTTTGGAATTCTCATTCACCCATCATCACACCCCATTTACTACCTGGGACCTCATCCAACCCATTGTACTGTAATTCTTCTCTAAACTGTCCCCGGGTGACCCTATGAACTCAAAAAGCTTTGGCTAAAATCTTTACATTAGTAATTCACAGATTAATTCACCATTCCGGGTATGTCTGATTTCATCAAGCCTCGTCTCTCTTAGTTGCTCTGACGTGTTCTCTTTAAGACGTTTTGCTACCAGCTTAAAAACGCTTATCTTTCCATCCAAACCTCTGTTCGGTCTTTCCATTCCAACTCAGAGCAAATCAATACTCCTAAGTGCTAAACTTCATTGGAAGTTGATCTTTATTAAATTCAAAGTTTGCACCCTATATCAAGAAAGGCCGATTCCGTCGGCATTAATTATTCAGAGGTTTGAAATCCACCCAGGGCTCAAATATATTCCTCTGGGTGCATGTTTCGGAATGTAAACACACCACAGATCACAAAGATGGATGAATGAAGACAACTCCATTGTGACTTGGGCATACCAGCATAAACAGGCAGCCCTAAAATTGTGAAGGAACAAAGGGCAGGCAAGGACTTCTTAAAGTTTTAATAAGGTCTTGTTTTCTACTTCCATTGTTACAGCCTTCCAAATGCAGCAGACTATAAAATTCAGGCATGCAATTTTTGGGGTAGTTTTTATGCTTTTTAAAAAAGTTAAGATCAAGTATCTGTCCGTTCCTCATTATATGATGCATGCATCTGAATTCAGTGAGAGGCCTGAGGCTTCTTTTGAGGCCCAGGAAGAACACCGAAGGTCTTGTGACACTGCCATGAAGAGACACGGAGCAGCACATCCACTAAATGCAGCAGGGTCTGCCAGACAACGGCACAACAGGAATCACACCCACAGCTATCCCAGGATCTTAATAAGAGAGCAACCAAGGAAAGCACTGGAGAAACTATTACCATCCCATCAAGTGACCTTAATCCCATTGTTTCTATGGCTGAGGGCTAAAGACACAGCACACATTTCCTCTGGAATATCTACCATGAAGTTTCCAGGCAGAAATCCGTCTGGGTTCCTAGAAACCTGATGCATCGCTGAGAAATTTGGAAAGTTCTGTACAGAGCTAGAATAGAGCTCTCAGTGGCAATCTTTGACTATTACTTGACATGATCAGGGAAGCTTTTATGGGTACATTGTGTGTCAGAGGGTCAGACAAACCTTCATGACTGAAAGCAAAAGTGTGCTGCTTACATACAACCCCATAGCACTTAAAGCATGATTTGGGTGGTTTACAATAATTCAAGCTACACATTGCCCATCCACATTCCCCCTCCCCCAGCAAGCTGGATGTTCAATTTACTGAACTCAGAAGGATGGAAGGCCGAGTGAACCTTGAGCTAGCTACCTGGGATTGAACCTGGGTTGTGAGCAGAGTTTTGGCTGCAATACTGCAGTTTAGTCACTGTGCTACAAGGCTCATGACCCCCATGTAGAAATTCGTTCTCCAGAGAGGAAGAGGAGTACAAACATTAGCATTTGAGGAACAATTTTTTATGCAACCATTTTAATTGGCTAGTCCTGTGTTTTACTGTACTTCTTTTTCTTGTTCTATTATGATGGTGCATTTCGGGGAGTGTAATTGTTTTAAAATACCTGTACACACCGCTGAGACAAAATAACATATGCTTTCATCCAAGCACTTAGTGTTGCCTTGAACTAGATCAACATTCCCCAGCCCCCCATGGACAGCACGAGGCACAAAGCTGGGGAAGGATGCACTAAACTGAGGCCACTGGTAAACCTTGCCCAGGGCCGTCAGCCATGGCAGATAATGACTCTCCACCGTCTCCTTTCTGGAAAACCCTCTCAGTGCACATGCTACAGATTAGATCCAGACCTCCTGCCTTCAAAGAGTGTGATCTAACACCAAGCTGTGTCCCCCTTCCAAAGTCATCTGTGGTAGTAGAGTGGCTGACCAGAGGCTTGTCCAGACAAGGACTATAAAACAATTCTGCCTGGAGTCCATCTGCAGTAAACTGAAATCAAACAGAACCATCTATCAAGAGACACTGAGGTTATAATAAAACACACCACTGTCTGATTGTCTTAGGAAGAACACAGCATGAATTCTTACATTTAATTCTGTAAACACACACACGCCAACAGGTGCATTAGATGCCCTCCAAATTGGTGTCAAAACTAAACTGTTATGGCTAGAAAAGTTGCTTTTTTGGACTATTATT